TATACTTGCGGCCTTCCGGCCACTTAATTTTGGGTCATTTTGGAGAGCCTGGAGGGCAAGAAGGATCCTAGCCTCATATAAAGACTCTGACATGTTGGGTGGTTGAGAATTATCTGATCAAATAGTGATAATATAAGGTGAGGGATTTTTGGGACACTCGCTTATCTGGGACACTCGCTTATCAAACACGTTAAATACTAGTAAAAATAAGACCGGCTACCCGGATAACCGAACTACCGATCAGAGAGCTATCTCAGTAATATAACAGCCTCTTAGATAGGTTATTACTAAACAGATAGAAATAGGGTTCTAACCTAACTATCGGACAGAGGCAGGAATACATACAATTAACCCCAATATCTGACACATAGAGCCAGTAGTAAACTAGGTGGTAGGGCCAGAAAAATAAGAGCAGCGTGTCCACGAAATAAATAGTAAAGTCAACAAGAATTGAAGATCTTCCTAATATGGAGACTCAATATGGACATTTCACGCCTTCTAAAAAATTACAGGGACTTTTGGGCATGTGTTGATCTTGAAGGACTCTTGATGGAAAACGCATGGCAAGTAGAGAATGTATCAGAAAGCGTTTAACGTTAGAGTATGCAAGGAATTGGCTCGCCCTTCAAATCGTCTCTCTTCTCTTCTCTCGCTCGCGATAAGAGGAATCATATCATGCCTAGGCCAATTGCACTTATTGGCTATCCCATACATCAGGGATATATAAAAAGGGAGATTCCTGCATGGACTCGACCAATGGTAATAGGAAGGGGAATATAATGGGGTCATATGAATCTCAAGCCTGCAGCTAGCGACAGACTCTACCGCTCGTTCGTCAGGCAGAGCGGGGTAGTAAGATGTCCTAGAGCAGCTGGCCTAGGAATATTTTCCAAATCTTCAATCATGCTTTCTTGTCCGAGCAAGTTAAGAGCCCCAGTTTAGGTTGTAATTAGGCAATTATATCAAGCCAAGCCGATCATGGATGGGCTACTGCATATCGAACATGCACATTGTGTTGTGTTCAAAGTGGGTTACAGAAGTCAGGCACTAACTTGATGCCCAACTGCACACTTACGACGTGGGATGAAACCTGGTAAATGCCATGCACCTGGCGCAGACTTCTTTATTAAATCGCCTCAGGTTTCGTACCCAAAAGATATTTAGGTTATCTCTAACTTATCGACTCTTGAGGGAAAAGATCAAACTACACAATGACAGACTTAGATACCCTATCGCAGCACCAACCACAGTTGGTCGAGATGCTTCTGCAGCCTCCAATTCTGGAGGTGATTCGCTCCTTCTTGACTATTCCGGACTTCTTGGCGTTATTCCGAGTATGCAAGCGACTTTATATAATCAAAAACGATATTCTTAGGTTAATTTGCGGGATTAACGTTGCACTCAAGACCTTTGTGATCGACGCTACAATGTTTCGATCCCAATTGGGACACTATAACGCCATGATTTCAGGACCCTTTGCCCTCAATTTCTTCCAACTCAGCAGTAACAAAGTCTTGAAGTTGGACATCTTCATCAAGGAAGGAGCCGATGCCGATCAATTCACAGATTATCTGCAAAGAACTGAAGAGTACAAGAACGATTCAGAAATCGAGACGGTGAGAAGTCAATGTCAAGAGTCCGCGATCCATGTACAATTCCCGCTAAGCCCTTAGCAGATTCCAAGACGTAGAATTTATAGTAGACTCTCACGGCCGAATATCCAAATCCGTGTCACTCGAACAACGGGGCTACCCATTGAAACCATCCTCACTTCTTCATCAACAACAGCAATCGTCAATGTCATCACTTGGAACAAGGCATATTGCATCTTTCCTCACCAAACCCTTATCAAGCACGATGTTTATCCTCTCCGACCTTTGGATGATGACTTTGGTTCGGAACTGAGCGAGCTTTCTCTCCATGGCTGGACAACTCGAGATATCATATGGCCCGACCATGCCAAAGAAAAATTCCAGAACTTCATTCCTGTTCGGCGTGTTGGTGATAGCTCTAGTCTGGTTATTTCCCTGGATACCAACTCTGTTGTTACCCAAGCAGTCCCAGATTATGTAATTGAATTTTCTCAGTTTGAGATTTCCGGGGATGGCTTGCAGTCCAATACTCGCATAACCGGGTTCGGGCAGAATCAGCTCTGGCAGAGTCATTTCCAAAACACCGCACCAAGGTGGTCCTTCTTACAAACTAAAGCAAAGGAGTTTTCATCTCCTGCTTTATGCCATTGTTATATCACCACTTCTTCAGAATGGCGCGACTTCGTGAGCCAACGAGTCCGACGTTGGGCCTGGTTGGAGGTATACAAGATAGAACAGAGACACCGACCCGTTCAACCCCCGGCATCAATTCCACTGGTCTCGGAGGTCTCAATCCCCCAAGGATTCGAATTTCCACAGTCCTGGGATTACGCTGATGATCAAATACCGATATGGTATCGACAATGGGAGGACATAAATACCTGAGGGGGTGTTACAGGCAAATACATACAGAGGGAACTATAGTATAATAAAATCGACATTACTAAACCGACAGCATCTGCAGTAAAATTGCCGTTCACCATCGCGCCTGGGTGGTATTAGGTCAAACACCGGGATTTAATAATCAACATGCTGGTGGTGTTAACAATAGTACGTATTGTCCCACGCAGCTAACCCTTATCGTCTCAAGTTTTACGCTTATTTGCGTAAATTCACCCATAGGGCTCCTTGGGTTCCACCATGCCACATCTCTATCCAATTCCCGAAGTACGACCGTGTTAGTCCTGGTCGGCATTACTGGGAAGTCTGTTTTATGGTAAGGAATTTCACACTAAGGAGGTTCTGTATCCACGCACTACTATCTTAAGCAGGCAAATAATAAATCTGTCTCTTGACTAGGGTCACCAGAGTATAACTGATTTGTTATACGTGTTACTATATATACCGCGCTTTCATCCCTCATAAAACTTAGAAGCATTTATTCACCTAAGATAAATTCAGGAGGTATTATGGTTTCAGTACAGTAGTTAAAACCATACCCCCCTCTAGCAAGGCAAGGTAGGTCGAAGACACAAGCTCGATAAGCTGTTATTACCTCCGCTCAGGATGACCTTCTGCTGATCAGCTCATTAATTTACTACAGCACGACAAGACCAGAAGTTTGGTTTGGCAGCTTTTACATCAACAAAGTAATGCCCCCAATGACCACCTCTGATCGCCCAGAGAAGAAGAGCGTCGCAGGCCCGATTTCTCGACTAGTCATACGTACCCTACAATGTATATTCGCCATTGTTGTGGCGGTCTTGTACGGCCTCGATCTCCAACATGCGACAGATCACAATGTCAGAGCTGGCTCAGCTTGGATCTATGCTGAGCTTGTGGCCGGGGTATCCATGATTATTTGCATTGTGGACTTGCTTTTCACGACTGCTGGCTGGTACTGGTGTCTGCTCGATGGTCTTGTCTTTGTGCTATGGGTTGCGCAGTTTGGGACGCTTGCCTCAATTTACCTGGGCACTGGAGACCCAGCAAAGGATCGAGAATTTGAGAGATTAGTGTCTCGCGGTAGGATGAGGGCAGCTGTATGGATTAATCTTGTTACCATGCTCTTATGGTTTGTGACAACTACACAGGGCGTCGTAGGGTGTTGCGGTCATCGGAGGAAGCCACAACAAAAGGTAGATTGTATCAAGCTAAAGGAAGATCATACCAAGCTATATTGTGTAGATGAGGTATAATTTGGGGCAAAATTGGAACTGGGTTTATGTATCTTGAGTGTGTTTCCTATGTAATAAATGGCTTGCTCAATGTCGCGTAATCATATCTAGTGCATCTAGCTACTGATGAGCACATACGCACTGGGCTTCCAAGAAGACGTCCCATTAGTAGGAACATACCATTCGAGCGCTGAAGCTTAAGAGAGTCGGCCGAGGTAGAAAGAAGCCGCAGGTACGACGAAGGAAATACCGCTCGAGGGTCATGTTAAGATATCGCGAAGTTCAGTGGCGACGGGGACAGTCATCGCCCTGAATCTAGATATCATTAAGCTATTCTTCTGGGTTCAGGTACGAAATTGGCCATGAGAGCCATTGTCGAGAGTTGGGAGAAATAACGAGGATCTCCCCTATGATATGGGCCGCCCATCCGTGCATGAACCAAAACTGGGCCTCAACTGTCCGAAGTAGGACGCAAAAATGTCCCAGAATGACTGTTGAGATGAGGTCTCTTTGGCGTAATCCTTCCATGTAATCGTCTCCAAGTCGGTAGACCCAGCCTACAACATCCTGAAGCTTACCAACTATATCCAAGGCAGCGTCTTGCCCCTTGTGAAATGTCCTTTCAAAGCATGCAGTGAGAGCTTGAAGTTCACGATCGTAGGCGTTGCCAAGCTTCTCCTCTGCCAATTGAGCAATCAGATGCGATATTCCGTTCAAAGAAGAGCGCCAGTCTTCAATGCCGCCAACCATTAAGGCTGGATCGGTCGTTGCGCTGTGTTCTGAAGTATCGTCGCCAGGTATCGGAGCATACTCTGCCAGCATACCCGAGAATATACATGACCAGCCTGTGGACTCGACAACTAAACGTACACCCCGAAGAAGATGAAGCCATGAAACTTGCCCTTCGATGCTGGTAATGAGAAGATTCCCGGGGCTCGGACCTTTGGCGAGAGCAACAAAGCATATCAAGACGGATGTCAGATACGCAGCTGGGCTGTTATCTCCACCGAGATTACTGATCAACATCATGGCTGGTTGCAACGCAGCCGTCAGATGCATTTCTGCAATTAACGAATATCGCTGTCCATCGATAGGTTTAAGTCGGGCCAGATGGTATGAAGACAATGAGAGTATGAGTTTGAGTATGCAGTTGTGTTGAAATCCCACTCGAGGCGCCCCTTCGGACCAAAGAAGGCTCTGGGAACCACCATCGCCAAGAGTGCTTGCAGTTCTGGTCATGTAGTTGTGAAAGAGCTCAAGATCCATTGTATTCAGATGCCCAGAGCTTTCTGCGGTAGACTCTGCTGCGTGAGACCGGATCTGCTCAGCCCATGATGTCCAATCCGATCTGGGACGCCCCGGGCGCCGTGATTGATTGTCGGGCTGAGGGCTGATAGAAGCCTGGGAAGCTGGTGGTTGGGGGGAGTAGTCGCACCATACACCAAACTGAACGCATTTTCCGCACTGCGGCTTCACCTCGTCGCACTTGAAAAGTTCACATAGTTAGACTAACCTACTACAGTACAGTATGGTATGACTCTGATAGGTATAGGGGCTCCCTGAATGGTTAATGGAAGTACAACACGACTAACCTTGATCTTTCGTCTTTTGCAGGTTTGGCAGCCGAGCCGAGATTTTTTGTGGGGTTTACGCATATTCGTACGCGGTTGGGGACGAGAAAGTGCCAAGTCTCTCGTCAGCTGGGCTTGAAACTGTAGTTTTACCTCGGGCTACCGTGGATTGGCTTGTTGGTGGTTTTTTCTTCTTTTTTTTTGACGACAGATCGGAAAGTTGTTAGACGGAGAAGTCTTATCGCATCCTCGGACATTTCGCGTGCCGCACGGATTCGCCCTGGGTTAGCTTATACGTATCCGATGCGTAAACTTATGACTGGCCAGTGAGTTCTACGGGGGGGCCCACTACCAGCTGTCCTTGACTCATGAGACGGAACTTTCCATTTAACCTGGGACTCAGTCATGAGGTGGAAATTACGGAAGACTCCAAGTTTATTAAGCCGTTTTAGTTTATTGGTTTATGTTAAATGTATTAATCAAATAGGGAACCAGAAAATAGACCAGGTAAGTCTATCCTATGCGCCATCACCTCGACACCAATGGCAAATCCTCCTTCAAAACATCTAACCGCCGAGCTTTCCGAATCAGCTGACCTGGGTGTAATACAAGGATAATTAATATAATAGCCAACATAAAGCAGCAATCGAAAACATATAAGAACGCTTCATTTGACAACAGTGGGCCATCACCACCTTGCTTATACTCGATAATTCTGACCAAATTGCGGATCAAGAACAAGCCGCTGGTGCAGTAGAGTGCGATGAAGTATCGACGATAGTGCGTTATCACACCTGCAACACACTGGACCGGAGGGTTTGAGTGGAGCCTGAGCTGCAGGGTGAGAGTGCAGGTTATGAACAAGGCAAAAGCCAGGATCTGGAGAACCAGTCCGCCAATGATGATAGTCTGGCCTCGCTTGGCCTCTTCCAGATCTTCACTGCCTGACATGATGGCACCCGCAGTCTGCGTGGCGAAGCAGATCAGATCAACCAAGACGAACAGTTTGGTGATCCAACGCAGGCTTATAAGCGATGCTTCCTGTGCTTTGAGAGCTCTTGTGATTCGACCGAGAGACATGTAGATCGTGGCGGCGAGGAATGGCGGGGCCACGAGGACGAGTAGGTTTTGGATTATAAAAGGCAACGTCTGTCGCAAGTTGTCATGAGATCGAGATCGAAACCAATAGGCGGCGGCCTCCACTAGAAACAGTATCAGCGTCATGGAACTACATGGACGTGAGCAGACAGGCCACGTACTACCGCACCCGATGATCATCGGGATGGGAAAGGCTGCTCGATAGGGGAACATCATGATGAAGTGGGCAATACCCGCCGCTCCGAAAAGGCCCAAGAAGGCATATGCTGGACCCTGAGATGGGTTGTAAGGATACAAGTCAAAGGGGGCGTAGCCTTCAGGCGTTTGGGTGTCGTTTGCCATTATTCGCTCTGGAGAATGGCCTGAATCGATTGATGGTGTAAACGGGCAGCTGATTTGCAGTGAAATAGATATAGATGTGAGAATAAGGTATATGTAAGAAGAAAAATTATTAAGAAATGATAGGAAGGTAGTTGGGTATGCTAGAATAACATATCACTGCTTCGCAAACACAAAGGGAATGCTTTATATAGTAGAAAAGTCCAGATGGTCTTACAGCTTGAAACAAGGCAGGATTTATAAATAAACAGATAATTAAGTGTCTCCGCAAATCAATTGGCTATCAACATTTACGGATTCGGATTTCGGATTTATGGAACCGCTGATCTCTGCTTGACGTGCCCTGGCCCACTGTGGTTTCAGTGTAATTTTTTAGTGCGTGGATTGACGGCATGCCACCCGGCAGTCCATCCTTTCCCTTCACTTGTTTCGGGCCAGGGGAGCGTTCATCACGGTTGAGATTGGCCCAAGCTGGTATACCGAACAGTCCGACTTTACATGCAGCGACCCCTTGCGCTATAGCGACGAACTTGGGGCTCGGGCTGGTCGCTCAAGGTTGAAAGCCATGCCAATAAGCATGATACAGGAGCTATTAGGCGACTGACTGCTGATGAGACTTAGTCGTTAAGCCAAAGCAGTGTTGAGACGAAGTTGCTCAGTGCTAATCTGCTAGAACTCTACAGCTGGTGGAATAATACTTCTCTAGTGGGCAACACCAGGCCAATCAATGATCATATCATCGAATCCTTTAGGCCTGGAACCACTGTTTGATGTTCGAAAGACCTCAGAGATATTAGCTAGCGTAGCCTTTTCGTGTTCGCTGAGAGCATAGGCAATAAGCCTTGTCAGCTCCTCCAACCACAAAGACCAAAGACTTGTCTCCCAGCCACTGACTGAGACGGAATTGGTAGCGTCACAGCGCGATAGAAGGAGCATCTCCACCATGTGAGCGGAGTTGAAACGTGAGTCTGATGGCTGATCGTTAAATTTGCCACTAAGAAATTGTTTCCTGAGGGCATGGTATAGAAGGGGCTTGCATCCACGCTGACAATCATGACCTGTTGTTGTAAAGCTAGGATGGCTCTTGACAAAGTTCATTGCACCAGCTTCGATAGCGAGAAGTAATGCGATGGGCGGAGAATTATGCATGGATGGAGGGTCAGACGTATCAAGAGGTACTGCCTGCGCAAGTCTCTGTAGTGTAACGCATGAGAGTCTTCTTTCTGATAGAAGCGAAAGAAAGGCCTTAAGATGGAAGAAGCAGTTGTTGGTGTCGTAAGGTCTCTGTTTGTCGGCTTCAGCTCCCCACCAAAGGCCCTCCTCGAATAGATCCATGGCCGCCACTTCATTATTTTCAGAAAGCTTCTGGACAGCCATGTGCATACCATACAGCGACAACGCTGTAGATGCCTCGAAACCAGCGTCGTGTATCTGGAGACAGTCAAGCTTCCATGAGTTCTGATCGCTCAGGAATTCAAAGACGGTCCGGTGCATGAAGACAACTTTTGCTTCTGTTATGCCACCTGCCGAAGTTCCAGTTCTGGAGGTCGCAAACTCCAGTAATCCCCAGCAGCGACTTCTCAGCCGACCTTCGAGTTCTTCGCAGATCTCTAGCTTTTCTTCGTCGTCAAGAGGCTGAATGCAAATAGGTTCCGCATTATAATCGTCCACTAGTGCGAGGCCTAGTGCGTACAGCCCTTTCTGGAGGAATGGTGACTTGGTCTCTTGATATGCGTAGCAGATCTTCAGCAACTGAGCTCCTTGTTCTTGATGTCGTCTGTGAACCTTGCTGAGCATATGCATGAACATGTCCTTGAGCTCTGGAGGGAGTTCGTCTACGCGACGACGAATTTCTGAAAGGCGATCGTGATCGTCGAATCCTCCACATATAGATCGACAAGCGAGTATTATCCAGAGCCAGACTCCACAAGACTTATCAACAAGTTCGTTCATCAAAGAGGCTGACTCTTCGGGAGACCGTCTCATATGTCGTTTCATGGACGGATGGCCTCCAACTTTGAACTGAACATATGCTTGTATGTCGCGTCGCGTAAGGTCTTGCAGTTTCAGATGAGGATGCTTTCGAAAGGCAGCGACACAGGATGGAATAGGTCTACTGGAGACGATGACTTTGGACTGCTCGTTCTGAGCCAGCTTGTTGATGAAGCCTATGCTGTCACTATACTCTCCAACAAGCTCATCAAGTCCATCGATGAAGAAGCAAATGTGTCCTATCCTGTCACTATTTGCTGAGATGACTTCAAATGCTTGCCGGGTCTCGGCTACCGAAGGTAAAGTGATATCATCATGGGTGGCTAGATCCTTATCTCGCAGGCCAGACTCTCGTTCAAGTATTTCTTTCCACATATTAGGAAGTGCTTCTTGAATCAGTGATCTGTTTTGATCCAATATCTGGTAAAGTAATGTCCGAGAGAGTCCAGCCTGGCTCTTCTGGAGATCTGTTCCTAAGTTGGAGAAGAAGTAATGACATATGAGCAGTCGGCCTCTGTTAGCCCATTGAGATAGAATCGACGTGGTTCGTTGATGCCCAAAGACAAACTTCATCAGGGTTGACTTGCCGCTCCCGGCTTTCCCAGAAACCCAGTAGATACCCGAGCCGTTGAGAAGCCAAGATGGGACATCATGCCAGGACTCGGTGTTGTTTGAACCTTCGATTGCCCATTGAAGGGTGTCTCGGTGATTCTTCGAGATGCTCTCTGACCTATCGTTTATCATCCTGAACCATAGTGTGTTCAAAATGCGAGTCTGGCGCATTATATCGAGATTCTGCTGGGTTGATTGAGTGATAGTTTCATGGTTTGCTGCCGCTTCCTGGAACAACAGAAGCTTTCTCACATCCTTCTTGATGAGCTCGACATCACTCTGGATCATTGAGCGAGCTGTTTCGGAACTTGACGGGGGGACCACTTGATCGAGTTTGGCTGTCAACTCAGCGAGATCCTGGACGAGGATCTCGAATTTCTGCTTGTCTCTGATGACCCAACGTGTCTTTTGGGCAACAGATGTTGTAGTCGCCTGACCTTGTACCGGAACTGGGAGTGCCTCAAGCCGTCTCATAAAGCTCTTCATCCGTTGCTGACTGAACCTCCAGCCAGACTGTGATGAATCTCGTTGTTGGCCGGAAGTAACATGTTGTAGCGGAAGTGATCCACTGAATAGTTCCGAGGGCAGCTCCGATAAATCCGGCCCAAGACTCATTGAGGTCGAGATGGGAGGCAAGGTCGGAGCCTCAGTGCCATTTTCCAGTCGCAACCCATATCGTTGTTGCAACTGATTCGTGTCCGTCAGAATCGAACGAATCGAACCAAGAATCCGCAGAACGAGAGTCTGGGTATTGGGCTCATCGAGTCGAGAGTCGTGATCGTTTTGGAGAAGTTTCACACGGTCTGCCCACTGAAGCAGAAGGGTCTTTTCAATATCTAACTTGATATCGAGGACTTGATACTGACGGCCCATATGACGCATATCTACAACTGTATTAAAAAGGTCGATGGTATCCTTGAAAGCTCCAATAAGACCGGCGAGGCCTAGTACACCAAGAGCGAGCCCAGCGACTTCAGCCATTGCGACATGTCGTGATCCAGGCCTCAGAAAATAAGCTTGGCCGATTGCGGTTCTTTTATTCTATTGACAAGACTTTGATAGCCGTATCGCGGATTTTCGGAGCAACTTTGATGTTGAATTTCTTCGGGCATGCATGCGAGTGAGGGGTCGGAAGCCTGATTCAATCACCTGACGTGGCTGCTTATTCTCTCTCGTAACAGTCACCTGTCGCTTGACAACAAGATACGCTTACGTGCTTATTTCAAGTCGAGGACATCCAAGCTGTATAATTATTCTAATTCGCCTTCTCAGCGAGAGGTTATCACCACTTGCCAACAGTCTGTCACTAAGGCACCTTCTAAAGTGCAATATATGGAGCATGTACCGCAGTTCAGAATCAAGCAAGTCTTTGTATGTGACAAAGGTAAAGAGTCTCATAATATAGCGTTGGCCGAATGTGATAATGATAGATACGGCGTATACTTCAAACACCTTCATGGAGAACATCTGATCTTTTTAATAAGGATTTAATAATTCCCATATAATACACGAAGCTGCCTGAAATCTTACCTAGACATATCAAGTCTATATCCTAGCTCGTGACTTCCTAGATAGCGTCTGTAAAGGCTGTAGCACCAGCAATTAACCTTCCAGGAGGAGCCTTAGCTAAGTTGAAATCTTCAGCCTCGAAGTTCTAGAATAGTCTTTGTAAAGATTACTAACCCTTGTAGAAAGAACTTCTGACAGCTTTCCTTTGGGTAGATTGATGCATTGAGTACTCAGGGGGTCCCGCTGCATTTTCTTGTACTAGAAGTTTAGCCTGTGAACTATCAAACCAAGCTCTGAAGCGGTGTTGATGGTTGGTAGCTCAAAGCCACTAGTTCACCTGCTAACACAAACTATTGACTGTCTTCAGGCACCGATACGACTAGCGCAAGATGCTCATTTCCGAATTTTTAATCCTGCTGTTTATAGAATTTTAGGAGAACAATAAAAGCATGCCTCCTGAATTTCCAGCTACTTTTTCATTTGCCTTCCAGCTTCCTGTGTCTTGTCTCTCTTGTCGCTCATTTTCGTCACTCGTTTAACCCACCATGCATCTAAGCATCCTTCGTTTGTTGGCCGTTGGCCTTGCTGGTCTTGATGTTACGGTTGCGGGCCCTTGCAAGCCTCGTTCTTCGGGTAAGTGATAAACTCTCAATTGGCCATTCCTTGCTAATAGAATTGGTGTAGCATCTGAATCCTCTATTGCGATAACTGCGACAACTGCGGGAACATCCAGTTTTACCTTGTCTTCCGACACCTCAGCCACCTTTGCCAGTATCACAACCGCAGCAGTCACTACTACTGCTGCTGACACAACCACTGAAGCAACCACTGAAGTGACTTCGGCGGTTACTGAAACAGATACTGCCAGTACCGAGGCAACCACTTCCGGCGATACAACCACCGAGGCGACTACTTTCGCTACGTCAACCGGAACTACCGAGGCAGCTTCTACTACTGGCGCAGATACTACAACGGAGACCATGACCACTTCAGGCACAGTCACTGCTTCATCCGACATCACCCAGGCTCCCACCACCACTGAAGAAACAACTACTGCAGCTGCTACCACTACCGCCGTGCCAATGTTCCGACTACTCGCTGAAAACGGAGCCTACGCAAACCAACCTCTTCTAGCAAAACGGTACCAGTTCACCCCTCTTATGTTCAGCAGCGCTCAAGGCTACACCGAGGCTTACTTCACCGTCGATGCCACTACTGGCCACCTGTTGCTCGACGGCCATTTGCCTGTGTGCGGCTTCCAACCTGGCGATGGCACCAGTGCATTCACGGTATGCAGTGACAATATGGGAGGACAAGAACAGTTTCTCACTTGCGAGGCACCTACCAGCAGCCAGTTGGAGTGCACTGTTCCTGAGGTGCAGTGCAGCATGTTTTCAGGAACTTGTACCAACACTGGCGCTCTCTGGGGCACTACATATATTGGCTCCTCTGGTGGTACTCCTGGTGATAAAGCAATCCTCGGCCCTCAATCCATGCAAGGATACACTCCTGTGCCCTTCTTAATTACGTTTGACTCTGATTAGGCAAATGAAGCTGAGGCTCAACTGTTAATTAATGTTCCTCTTTCTCACAAGCTAAATTTCTCCAAGTAACTATGGCTTGCAATCATTTGAGATGTTGGCATTCTGCGGGGGTCACCTGGCCAGATCTCGTTTGCATTACTTGGAGAGATGTTGCTGTCATCACACGATGCAAGGCTGCTTGCCCTCAGACCGAGTCTTTTGTACTGCTTAAGAGCCGAGGCAAATTAGCATACTTCAGAACGGATCTTTTCAATTTCCCTACCACTTCTCGTAGGTATACCAGCATTAAAAGACTCTACCCATACTTTTAATAAATGATCTACATATACAAGTGAATGGATGATACCGGTGAATTTACGTATAATCACTATGAAGGATAGCCCACTAATGCGCCCAAAGAAACCACGAGAACACATTTTTAATGATGTACTTAAGCGACCCTTCCAGGATCTATGTATTTCATTAAAGCATCCACGAAATTGCATACAGCCCAAGCGAACTCCCATGAATGCAAACCGAACGCTTGAAACAAAGCATCGTCTCGAAAATAATGTACAGAGGACATGAAACTCAACTCAGACCTTTTCATTCGCTCTAGACGTTGATCCTGAGGCTCAGATGGTTGTCAAAGTCAACAGTGCCATAGTAAGGTTCCATGCCAGCATTTCCAACATTGACATACGTGTCTGACTTGAACACGCCTTTCTTGGAGAGCGCCACAAGCCAGTCCTTGATGTCGCCCTCAAAACTACCGCCCTCTTCGTTACCGAACTGACTGCCCTCGGGGCACAGGAGCGAGGTCACAGTGATGCCAGTATCGGCGTTGACACCTTGGTACAGCTTCCAGCCGTCTTTGCCAAACAGTCCATCGATGGTAGCGATGGGTCCCTCACCCCATCCAATGGGAACTTGACCGCCCTGCCAGTTTAACCACAGCATGAGCTCCTGCGCATTGCTGGAGGTTGAGTCTCCCTTTGTATCGCAGGTCATAAAGTCATACACAACATTCCCTGGTAAGCATCGACAGTCAGCATGCAGGTTCACATATTCCGCAGAGAGAGGCTACAGTATAGTAATCACATACCTTTATAATCAGTAGTCTTGCTAGTGGTCCACTCATACTTGGAAGGAATACTCTTGATGTCACTGAGCCTTGTTTCTAGACCCTGCGTAAGACCGATAAAGTTGTAGCCCTTGACGAGGTTCGTGCCGACACTGGGATCAATGTCCCATAGGACGCTCCAGTGGATGGTCTGGTTGTCACCAGAGCCTGCGTAGTCGTAGTAGCCGACACAGGAAGAGCCTTTGATAGACTGATAGTTGTAGTTCATGGAGAAGACAATCCATGGCGTCCCAAACAGGACTTCGGATTCGTTGGGTTTGCCGCAGAACTTCTTGGTAGGCTCCTTGAGAGCAGCCGTAGTGCTTTTCTTTTGTTGTGATGTCGGCAATGAAGCTGTATTCTGTGATGATGCTTCTTCCTCTTGAGGCTTGACATCCCCAGCATCATTGGCGGGCTCAGTTACTTGAGGTGTCTCGGTCGGGACAGTAAGGACGGTCGAGACAACGGTTTGCGCTAGTCCAGTCTTCACCAACTCTACTGTTGTCGAAATACTGGAAATAATGCTGGAGGCATCTTCTGATGTTGCCAGATACGGGTCCGAGGAGATGTTAGGCACCAAATTGCCATTCTTGGGTCGTCCGTGGCGGCACTTGGAAACCCTCGCAGATTCGACTGCAGCAATAGCTGAAAGGATGAGAACGAGTTGGGGGGAGGCACGCATCTTGAAAGCGACTAGCAAGTAGTAATAGGTATCCAATCTAATCAAAAGATAGAGGAATTTCCATGTCAGAGGAGTAAGAGTGTGCAAGATTACTTATAGCCAATGAATTCTGCAGTCTCTTGTTTCTAATAAAGAACACACCGCAGTGCAAGATTATCAACTCGAAACTAGCCGAAATTAGAGGTACACAGAAGACATGGATCTGCCTGATCTGCGGAGGATCTTTACATTATAATTAAGAAAGGAACCCTGCGTGTTGTGATAAAGATTTAGGCCAACAGACAGAAATTCGACGACACTTAATTTCCATGACGGCTATGTCGGCCTCCGCAAAGGCTTATTAGTCTTAAGGACCTCTGTCCTTAATCGGTGGAAGAATATCATGCAACGGAACAATTAGCAGCTATACGCGTATGTGTTTCAGAGCAGGGGTGAATTTATAGGGTTGAACCATTAACAGGGATTGCTGAAACGACTAGAAAGTTTAAGGCTGAACATAAACAAGTCGCAGATCTGATTAAGCCTGACAATTAGGAATCTACATAGCCGTTCCAATTAACGAATTGGCTGATGTTTCTGAGAGGAAGACAGGTGAGGATGGTGCAGTGGAACTCAACTCAACTGGATAACCTGCATTACTTCCTGCTTCATGCCAGTTATACAAGTCACTAAATGACAAGACTTAAGTACAATCTTAGATTTGCCTACGACTTGCCTACTTATTAATTCTTAATTATTTTATAGATTATCTGACGAAGTTCCGGGTAATGCCTCTTATGGCTACAGTACTTATCAGAGATAGTCTTACAAGAGCACGTATTTATCAACGTTTAATACTTCAAGCCAGTAATTAAAATCAACACTATAGTAAGATTGGGAACATTGTGAGTTCCAAAATCGATTTCGAACTCACCCAGCATTTCTAAACTAGAGATACCATCATATATTTACAGTACACCAATTCACCTACCTGGCAACTGTCCTTCAATGCAATTTTATACAATAAAATGCCCATCTAGAAGAGAATGATACTGACTGAAAGCGGACTGACTTTACACTTACGCCAGACCGAAACCAGCCTTTGTCATGGCATTCTTGGCACTCTGAGCACTAGCAGCAGAAGCAATAGTCTTGCCCTTGAAGCTGCCGAGGAACCCGGTGTCATCGCCAGGGAAGGCACCAGAGCTTCCAAAGGCGTTCATCTGGCACGCACGTCCAAGAGAAGCCTTGCAGGAGCCAGCTGACCCAGCAGTAGGGACAGTGAAGAGGCGGCCCTTGGTTCCAGTCTTGAGAGGGTTCTTGACGTTCTGGAACGCGTTTCCTTCAGCGAGAACCTGGCCGTTCTCCTCAATCTCGAAAGCGTGGTCGAAGACGTCGTGAAAATAGTTGTTGACGACGTGGAGAAGGGTGTTGCCGGAAACCTTGGGAGCGCGGCCGGAAACGTGGTACATGTAGTTGCCTTTGAAGGTAATCAGCTAGAACATGTTAGTGAATTCTCTGTACGATCTATTGTCTCTGTTGCTTACGTCGCTCTTTCCAAGGAAGAGGATGGCCCAGTAGTGATAGGTGTTGCAGCTAGCAGACCAGGGGCTAACGCCGTCGATCTTGTTATTGGTGATGGAAACGCGACCGCTAGCTCCAGTACCAAGAACAATGTGCTGGCGACCGATCAGGGATGTAGTGCAGTGATCAATCCAAATATTGTCAGTGCCGTCCAGCGTGATAGCGTCGCCACCCCAGACCAGGCTGGGGTTGAGGTCGGTGATATGGATGTTCTGGATGATAACATTCTTGACGCCGTTGGCAAGACGAAGACCCTTGCCCTTGATGACACCCTTGGATCCGACGCCGATGATGCTCTTGTTTGAGCCCACCATAAGAGGGTTCAGACCAGCCTTGTCATACTTGACAGTGACCTTCTGAGCACCAGGGTTGTAGTTGGTGCACCACTGGTTCTTGTTGATAGAAAGCTGGCAGTGCGCACCTGTACCCCAGGGTGCGCAGCCAGTTTCAGTGGCAGAACCCTCAGACCCCTTGAAGTCAAAGGTTCGCTCCAGATAGATGATACGAGCTGTGTTATCCTTCAGGTAGTTGGCCAGTTCCTGGTTGCTCTTGGGACGCACAACCTGACCGCCCTTGCCACCAGTAGTACTAGAGGCAAATCCTTCGGCTTGGGTAGGCAGAGCGGCGAAGGAAGTAGGAAGAAACGCCACGACGGCGACGAAAACATCGAGCAGGCGCATTGTGGAGGCGTTGAGCGTAAGTTTTCAAAAACGAATGTGAGCGGAATGCCAGATTCCTTGTTGATATATACAAACAGAAAAAACGAGAGACTAGAAACTGAACGAATGAATGATACTACTAAAACAGAAGGCCGATTTCTGAGTAGATCTCATGGAGATATATAACGGAAAGTCACTTGTTGTTGACTCGTGCTGTTGACTCAGTGTTGAGCTAGGTATAATTATTGGAAATTGCAGTTCTCGCGCCGACAACTAGGCTAATTGTTCCGCCAATCTGTAACGCTAGGCTGGCAGAATACGAACTGCCCACAGCTAGAAAGAGCGGCGTGGTATCTGAAACAGCTACATGGCCCGAGCAGGTGGTGCCAATAAGCCAGTATGCTAGCTCCCCTCGGATTCATTTCCGGTGGTTCGATCCCTAGTTTATTAGAGTTGTGAAAGGTTATAAGGCTGAAGGTTTAAAGAAACGTCAGTCCCATCACAAAGGTAAAAGAACTTAACATAGATTATTTGATATAGGTAACATACCCTTTGCCCTCACTAATGCCTAAGATATTGCTTTTAGCTGAAAATTGTTCTGATACCTGTCTCCGAGCCTCAGTGGCCCCGCAAATGAATACGCGTATAGATAAATGAGCTAGGGGTTGTGGCCTGATACGGCCACCTGAAGCGGCTGTTTATTCCTTTCTTCGTCCATGCCAGTGGGTCTCTCATCAGAAGTAGTTCGTTAAAAGTTGCCTTCAGGCGATAGCCTTGTAGGATATCCAACACGATCAGGCACGTAAATCTGACCAATGGGCGATTTGATGTATAACAGTATTCAATCACGGTTGAAGAAATTAGTAGTCGGGATTAAATTAAATAACATTCTAGACTCCTTAACTGTTATAACAAATCTGACAACTAGAGCGAAACCAATTCGAGAGCGCGGTTCGAGGTTGAGTCTCCCGTTGCATCGCGGGTCATAACATTT